TTTCGCAGCGGCCAGGCCGCTTTGCATTTGGTTTCGCGTTCCATATCGCGCAATGCCCCCCTTGCTCGTTGCAGCGGCTTGGCCGCTTCAGTTGTTGCGGCGGCCTGACCGCTAACGTGCGTGCACGCGCCCTTGTTTGCAACGGCGGTCTGGCCGCTAAATCTTTACTATTTGGTTCACGCAGCTTGTGCGTCGCCTTGGGCGTCGCAGCGGCATGCCCGCTCGTTGCTTGCGCGCAGCATCTGAAGATGAGGAGGAGGAGGGTGAAGGGGAGGTGGAGGAGGAGGAGGAGGAGGAGGAGCTGGCAGGAGGAGGAGGAGCAAGACCAGGAACGGCCCCTCTTATCAGCGGCCCGACCGCTTCGCAGCCTCTCTCCATCCAAGCGTCGCGCCGCAGCATGCGCGCGCAGCCGCGAAGCGCGACGGCTCAAGAGCGGCTATGATCGCCGCTGGCGGTTGCGCCGCAGGATGGGCGCCCCTGCGATTGCGCGCCGCATCTCCGCAGGCGGCTTCATCCTGCAGTCGTTCTGCGACCCGCTGCAGGTTGCCGCGGTGTCGGCCGCGCAAGCGGGGCAGGTGGTTAAGGGGCTCAAGAAGGCGAGGTTGCCTCCAGAGGACATTCAGCCGATTCTGCAGGCGATCGCGGAGTCAGGGTTCGCCGACGCCGACAAGACAGCCATCGCCACCTGCATCTCGGAGCTGGCTAGCAACGGCGATTCTGCCAGTTGCGTCGCTGGCCCTCAGGACTGGGAGTCGATCCAGGAGTTCTTGCCCCAGGCAGTCTGGGATTCCCTGCCGACAGGGGATCCCAACCCCCTCTTCGACTTCCTGATCGACCTCGGCCTCCGCAGAGCTTCCGAGCCCACGAAGCAGACGATGGCTTGCCTGCTCATGCAAGCAGGGAGGGGTCTTGACGGCGCAATTCAGATTGACGTTGCGCAAAGGACGGGCTCTGTGCTGGCCGTCGGCACGCTATTCGCGGAGAGGGTGGCCACGCGTCAGCTGACGAACCCAAATCCTGTCATCATGACTTTGCCGACGGTGCCTAGTATCCTGGCGAACGACTATCCCACTGCGTACCAGCGGGCGCACAGCGCGTTCCCGCCGAAGCGTTTCGATCTCGACCCCGTCGGCTGGAACATCCTCAAGAAGACTACCAAGATGCGCCATCGTTCATATCGGCCCGCAAGCGTTGCGAGCTCCTCGTGGAGCATCCGCGGGGCGCAGCCAGCTGTCTCGAGGCAGAGTCCTGCAGGTTCTCCACAATGGCCTTCTTTGCAGCAGCAGCAGCATCAGCATCAGCAACTGCCGCCGGGCCTGGACGCGTCGCCTGCGATGGTCGCGCAGTTAGTAACGTCGATGCTGCCGACGCTGCTTCCGATGCAGTCGCAGATCCAGCAGGTGCCCCATCAGGTGTTGCAGCAATCTCTCACAGGGCTGCCGAGCGGGATGGCGCAAAGTCCGAGCTTTTTTTCAAGCGGCCAGCGCTGCAATGCAGCACGCAGCGGCCCCTGCAGCGCTTGCTGCATCGCCCCAGCCTGCCGCGTCGCCAGGTGCGCTTGCAGCGCTGACGCCTCCCCAAGGGCCAAATGCGCTTGCAGCAGCATCGCCGGCACCGAGCGCATCAGCATCAGCGTCCGCAGCAGCACCATAAGCAGACGCACCAGCAGCAGCAGCAGCAGCAGCAGCAGCAGCAGCTGCAGCACCGTCCGCAGACGGGCCAGCAGCACCAGCGGCGCCTGCCGTTAACGCCCTGACGGGCTCCGAGCCCAAGCTGACCGTAGCCGAAGCAGCAGCAAGGATCACAGAGGCTTACGGTTCGCAGAAGGCCGACCGCAAGAGGGCAAGGAAGGAAGATGGCGAACCCCCTGAGCTCAAGAAGGCTGCAAAACCCGTTATGACAAAGCCAGCGGCCGCTGGCTCCGTGAAGTTGCCGCGCGTGTACGACGAGTCAACGCGTTCTAATTTCCTCGTCCGCTTCATGGACCTTGCAGACACGCAGGCTTCCATGAGCTCCCCGTGCACCACGAAGACGAAGCAGGCGACAAAGAAGGAGGCCTTTCCATCTGAGGGGGGGGGGGGGGGGACTTCGCGGGTGAGGAGGAGGAGGGGCAGCAGCAGCAGAGGAGGAGGAGCAGCAGCAGCAGGAGAAAGGGGGGAGTAGGGGAGAGTAGGGGGAGGATAGGTGCGAGTAGGGGATAGTAGGGGAGCGCAGGGGAGAGTCGGGGAGCATGGGGAGTGCATGCAGAGGGGCGCAGGGGAGCGCACAGGGAAGGAAGGCGGGCCAGCCTGCAGGCCATCAAGACCTGCAAAGACGCGCGCAGCAAGGCCAACGTGGACGTGCCCAGTGGCCACGAGTTTCTCTCGACGAAGTGACCGCGCCAGAGCTCAGACTTTCATCGCTGCGTTTGCGCGTCAGCAGCCCTGGCCGTATACGAGCATCTGCGCGCAAACTTGCATCATCTCAGCATGCCCACGTTTGCTACAGCGGCCTAACCGCTTTGCTTGATGCTTTCTATAGCGGCCAGTCTGCTTGCATGCGTTCGCCAATATTGCTACAGCGGCCTGGCCGCTTGGGGTTTGCCAGATTTGCTTGTTATAGCGGTCTGTCCGCTTTCATTGTTTCCGCTTCCCCCTCCTCCTCCTCCTCCTCTTCCTCGTCCCCCTCCTCCTCCTCTTCCTCCTCCTCCTCCTCCTCCAGCTTGCGCGGCCGCCTGCGCCGCGCCCCCCTGCGAGGCTCCGCTGAGCCTCCCTGAGGCCCCCTGCAGCGAGCGCCATGGAGGCGTTCCTCGAAATGGAGAACGCGGCGGTGCACTCCTTTCTTCTTGGAGAGGATATCTCCGCATTTGTTGTCTCTGCTTCTTTCTACACCAACACAGCGTCGATGTGCTTGCGCTAGTCGTCGATTGTTTTGAGTTGCATGCTCACCTCCCCCTGCGTTGTCCCACTCCGAGCCCCTCCCGTGCCCCAGGAAGAAGCTCCTGCAGATGCTGGCCAAGCAGCAGCAGCGGCAACACCAGCAGCAGCGGCAGCACGAAGCACCAGCAGCAGCGGCGATGAATCAGCATCAGCGGCAGCACCACCAATACCAGCGCCAGCACGAAAGAGCACTCCGTGGCCGTGGCAGACCTCCCCGAGCACGAAGGAGGCCGCGACTCGCCACAGAGAGGCCATGGCGCGAGTGCTCGATCGGCATCACGGCCTGGACAGCCCTGGCAGCCGCCAGGTGAAGAGCCCTGTGCGCAAGAAGAAGAAGATGGATCCTTCTTCAAAGCTCGGCGCCGAGCAGCAGCCGAAGAAGCGCATGGGACCTACTTCAAAGTGTAGCGCGCCAAAGCCGCAGGGGACATCGGCTACCTCGCTGCCACCGCCGCTGCCACCGCCAGCTTCGCCACCGCCGCCTCCTGCGGCAGCTGCAGCAGGCCCTCCACCGCCGCCTCCTGCGGCAGCTGCAGCAGCCCCCCCCTCGGGGACAATGCCGCTTTGGCCGAAGGCGGCGTCGCAGTCCGAGGTTTCGCCGAAGCCCAAGCCTATCGCGGCGCCATCGGCAGCGGCCCCTGCAGCGGCAACTCCAGCGCCGCCTCCAGCGGCGCGTCAGCCGCCTCCGAAGCAGCCGACGCCACCTGCGCAGCCGCCGCCTCAGGCTCTGCTGCAGCCTCCAGCGCCGCCTCCAGCGGCTCCTCCAGCGGCAACTCCAGCGCCGCCTCCGAAGCAGCCGACGCCACCTCCACAGCCGCCGCCGCAGGCTCTGCAGCTTGGCCCCCGCGGCTGGAGATCGCCGAACGGGGGGCCGTGGAGGGCGGGGGTCCACGGCGGCAAGGCGCGGCGCGGCATCAGCGGTGGCCGCAATCGCGACTACTACCGCTTGCTGAGGCGCGCGCAGAATGAGGGCCCTGCGGCCGTGGCGGCGTTCAAGGCGCAGAACCCGCACCCGAAGGGGCTCGAGAGGGCGTGGAGTTCTACCAGAACGCCTTGCACGTCGCCAGGACGGTCTCGCCAACGCCGCCAGCAGCAACGGCGGAAACCAGCAGCACCGCGGCCAGCAGCAGCAACCAGCTCGGCAAACCGCCTTCACCCAAGCCTTTCCTTTGAGTAGCGGGCGCGACCGCTTAGCTTTGCAGCGGAAGCGACCGCTGAGCGGATGCGGCCGCTCAGCTCAGCGCTGCAGTAGCGGACGCGACCGCTAGGAGGACGAGGGGGAGGGGACGAGCAAGACGAGCAAGACGAGGAGGAGAGGACGAGCAAGGAAACGAAGAGGAGGAGGAGGAGGACGAGCCAGGAGACGAGGGCCACCATAAGGATGACGAGGGGAAGGGAGCGCGGGAGGAGGAATACGATAAGCGGCAAGCCCGTGTCCGACGCGACTCGCATCGGGCGCGCCCCCGCGCCCTCACGACGCTTCTGCGCCGAGCAGACGAGCTGCCTCGGCCCGCGCGGAGTTGCAGAATAGCGTGCTCTCCAGCATCTGCCCCAAGCTCCCGTGCAGCTGCCATGCTTCCTCCTCGTCCTAACACCTCCTCTTCATAGCGGCCAGACCGCTCTTCCTATTCCTCCTCGTCCGTCCACCCCCATCGTCCTTCATCAGATATATGTAGCGGCCAGACCGCTTTGCCTCCCACCCTTCTCCTGCACCGCCTCCTCCACCATATCGCGGCCAGACCGCTTTGCACCTCCCCCTTCTCCTGCACCACCTCCTCCACCCATGTAGCGGCCTGACCGCTTTGCCTCCCCGTCTGTCCACCTCCATCGTCCCTTCCACCGAGGTAGCGGCCAGATCGCCGTGCGCCTCCTCCTTCTCCCGCAAACCCTGCCTTTGCCAAACAGCGGCAAGGCCGCTTTGCGTCTTGCCATCGCCATGTAGCCTCGCATTGGTTGCGCCACATCCTTGCTCTTTCGGATCGAGCGCTGAGCTGCGAGCTCCGCTGCCGCCTCCTCGCGAGGCACGCCGCTTCCCGCCTCCTCGAGCGAGGCTCCGCCCGAGGCTCCGCCAGCGCGCGAGCGATGGCGAGCGATCGCGTCGACGACGACAACACGTGCACGCAGCGGCGGTTCCATGAGCGCCCGTTCAGCCACAATTGCCCGCAGGATAAGTGGGTTAAGCGCCCTCACAGGTGCCAGAGCTGGGGCTCCGAGGCGGACGCGCGGGATAAGCTGTTCATGCACCTGCGCTGGAGCGACAAGCACAAGAGCGATGTGGATGGCATGGCGGGCGAGGAGCTCAAGGAGTTCGCGCTGGCGGTCGAGGTCGATTATCGCACCATCAGCAAGAAGGACGACGAGCACAGGCGTTGGATGAAATGGGAGGCGGAGAAGCAGGAGAACAAGAGGCTGGCTGCAGAAGCCATCGACCGCAAGCAGCACGGCGACAAGGCCCGCCGCGCCGACGACGACAGGAACCGCCGCGACGACGACAGGGACCGCGACAACAAGAGGGCTCGTCGTGGTCGTTCTGGCAGCGGCGTCGACGCGGAGCAGGTCGCTGAGTTGGTGGCGCCCAAGCTCGCCGCTAGTGCAGCAACATCAGGGGCTTCAGCTGCAGCACCCTCAGCAGCAGCACCAGGGGCGGCATCCAAGTCACCAGCCGTGTTGGCGCGCATGCATCAGGGCAGTGGTGCCATCGTGGACAACGCCGCGAGGGTGGCCATGAGCCTCGGCGAGCTCAAGGCGCTCCAGGACGACGTCAAGCGGTGCAGCAGGGCGTCGAGCCAGATGTTGCGCTTCCTGGATGGCGCCAGGGTTGCGTTCTCGAACGAGCTGCAGACGTTCAACGACGCCGACGAGACCATCCAGCAGCTCATCGATGCGCACTTTTCGGCGGTCGCGGCTGAGCGGCATCTGCAGTGGCTCGTTTTCTTCTCTTCTCATTACCATCGAGAGCCTCACCGTCGCAATCTCACCGTCGAGAATCCCACCATCGAGAATATCATCCTTCTTCAGTTGCCGCGAGCCTGTTCGCATTAGAGCACTTCACGTCTTGCGTTGGAGACGCCCCTGTTTAGCCAGCGCCCAGCGGAGTTCCGCTCCAGACGGCAACGCTCGAGCGTTGTGCGGCTTTGCAGGAGACAGAGGCTGCGCGAGATCCCTTGCCATCCATTCTTGCTCCTTGTTTTTTCCTCCTCCTCCTCCTCCCCCCCACCCCCCTCCTCCTCTTCCTATTGCGGCCAGTCCGCTTGCATGCGTTTGCAATATTGCTGCAGCGGCCTGGCCGCTTGCATGGGTTTGCCAGACTTGCCTGTTATAGCGGTCTGTCCGCGTGCATTCTTTTCCGCTTTCACTTCCTCCTCCTCCTCCTCCTTTTCTTCCTCCTCCCTCTCCTCCTCCTCCTCCTCCTCCTCCTCTTCCTCCTCTGCCCCCTCGCCCCCTTCCTCCTCGGCGCCCCTCTTGGGGCCTCGGCGCCCCCTTGGTGCTGGCACTCCTGGGCCTCGGCGCCCCCGCGTCCGACTTCCAAGTCCCTCCCTCCCGTTCCTCTCCTCCTCCCCTTCCCCCCCCCCCCCCCCCCCCCCCCCCCCCCCCCCCCCCCCCCCCTTCTCCTCATGCCCCTCCTCCTCTATCCTCTTCCTTCATCTCCCCTCTCCTCCTCCCCCTCCTCCTTCTCCTCCTCCTACCTCTCCTCCTATCATCTTTCCCCTCCTCCTCCTCCCCCCCCCCCCCCCCCTCCCCCTCGTCCTCCCTCTCCCCTCTCCTCTCCCCCCCCCCCCCCCCCCCCCCTTCCTCTATCCTCTTGCCGCTCCTCCTTCTCCCCCCTCACCCCCCTCCCCCCCCCCCCCCCCCCCCCCCCCCCCACCCCCCCCCGCCTCCCCCCCCCCCCCCCCCCCCTCCCCCCCCCCCCTCCCCCCCCCCCCCCCCCCCCCCTTCCCATTGGCAGCAGCTGGATGTTAGCTGGATGTGTGTGTGTATATATAATATATATATAATATATATATATATATAAATATATATATATATATATATATATATATATATATATATATATATATATATATATATATATATATTATTTTGCTGTTTTTTTAGTTGTCTTACGTTGTTGTTATGCTGTTGTTTGTTCGTTGTGCGTTGTCTTGTAAGGCGGGCGCCAGGCAACGTCAGACAACGCAGAAACACAGAATAAACGCAACTTCAGACAACAAAACCAACATGTTGTTGTTTGTTGTTTTTGTGTTGTTTTATGATGTTTGTTTTTTGTTGTTTTTGTGTCGTTTTTTTGTTGTCTGATGTTGACTGCTTTTTTGTAGAAAAAAACGACACCTCCCTCATCCGTCACCTCTTCCCGCTACCCCCTCCTCAGCGGGCCAGCCGCTCTCCGCCACCTCCCTCATCCGTTTCCTCTCCCCTCCTCAGCGGGCCAACCGCTTTGCGTTCGCTTCCCTCCTGCCTCCCCATTCTGCTCCTCGGCGGCCCAACCGCTTTGCATGGGGGGAGGGGGGGGGGGGGGGGGGGGGGGGGGGGGAGGAGGAGGAGGAGGAGGAGGAGGAGGACAGGATAACGATTTCGTCGCAGCCGTTTTTGGCTTCAAGTTTTTTGAATTCGCCTAACCGAATTCGAGAATTCGTTCAATGGCTGCCTGGGATGCTCGCTGCGCCACGCGCGGCGCCCTCGGCCCCGCAGCCGCCATGGGCGCGTGGCACTTCGCGCAGGACGGCCCCTGTCGGCACCGCTGCTGCCTGCAGTGCGTTCGGAATTCCCGAGCGAGCTTCGGTGATGAGCATCGTTTAACCGAACCCTATCCCCATCTCGGTGGCTTTTTCTCCACAAGGGGATTTGCCCCCCGGCATGGGGATATAAGCGGAATGCCTGGGGTTTCGGGGTGTACATCCCCATGTCGGGGGCGGCGGGAGGGGGCGGGCTGGCGGGGGGCTACATGGGGTTGTTAGGTTAACCGATACTGAGGTGAGGCGCTACTCACCGTCGACGCGGACACGGCCACGAAGCTCGTCGACGAGCGCCTGGCGATCGCGGCTCAGGCGCGCGCTGCCCAGGACGGCGAGAGGGACAGGCACGCCAACCAGCGGCGACGGCTTCACTGAGTGAGTCCGCGCGCCGCGCGTTTCGAATCGGGAGCTGCGCACCCCGCCTGCACCCGCATAAGCGCAGCGGGGGGCGACGCCCCCCGACGAGGAGGCGCCGCGCGCAGTTCCTCCTCCTCCCCCCCTTCCGCGCTCTCCTCAGCTGCGCAACCGCTTGCTTGCGCGTCCCTGAGGGTTGGGGGGGGGGGGGGGGGGGGGGCGGCCGAACCAGAACAGATTCAGTGTCTAGATCTGGTTTGGGCCTCCTAATATCCTCTTTCCACCACCTCCCCGCCTCCTCCCCCTCCTCCGCCCTCCCCCTCCTCCTTCTCCTCCTCCCTACCTCTCCTCCTCGATCATCTTTCCTCCTCCTCCCCCCCTCGCCCCCCCTCCCCCTCCTCCTCCCCCTCGCCCCCCCTCTCTCCCTCTTCCTCTTTTCCCCCCCCTCCTCCTCTATCTCTTGCCGCCCCCCCCCCCCCTCCCCCTTCTCCCTCTCCTCCGCGCCCCCCCCCCACCCCCCCTGTCCCATTGGCAGCAGGCTGGATGTTCGCTGGATGTTGTCTGGGTGTTGTTTTCATGTTGTATTTTTGTTCCCAACCATCCTGTGGTGTTGGGTCCTCGTTTTGAAGAGACGGCGCCCCGCGTTCTCCTTCCTTCCTCCCTCCCGCCGCCTCCTCCCCCCTCCCATCATCATCATCATCA